AAGAGTCATTCCATCCGGGCGTTTGCCATCAGTTCGCGACATGCCGCTTGGCTCGAATGTAGCGGGCACGTTAACCAACGACTTGAAATTTGATATACCATGGAAATCAGATGACATAACAATAATACGGTAACCTTGATCTGCTACTGAAACCAGGACCGTCTACAGACTATCCAACCCGTCAAATATTCACAACAATTATTGGTCTCGACGAGTACTTACCTTACAGATGGTTTCGCTTTTTGGAGTGCACTGTTTTGTATTGGGGTTTTAGCCATGTGTTTATCTTTCATATCTCTTAAAACAACTAACTATAAGCTACTATTGTTTTCAATACCAACAAACGTGACACACTCAACACACACCCCAAAGGTTCTTCAAACATTATAAAAAATTCAACTTAATTAACTCCTGCGATGTCTTTAACGTTTTTGTTTCGTTCTTGCACGACATCTCGAATATTTTTTGTTCCCCTCCCACGGCCCAACTGAGAATTGACATTGAAAAACCTTTACGGTTTTTTGCGCCCGTGCGATTTATTTTCGTTTGCCCTCTAGGTCTAATTTTATACATCTTTGTATCCATTGACGTGTGCAGACTCAAAAAAAAATTTATTATTAATAAAAGTGGTGCTTACGATACGTTGCTTATCATCAAATCAGCTGACAGATTTGGCGTTTCTCAACGTAATGGCGTCCGTTCATTTCTTCTTTCCTCGTCATTATTAAGTTGGTGGTACTGTACAGAACAGCTAAAGGATGAATTCAACTCATAAAAGTTACAATAAGATTTATCTAACGGAAGAGCGCTAAGTGATATATTCATCACATACCAGCATGTAGTTATTTATGCGTTAAGGGATTAAGTCTTCAACCTCTATTTAACCATTGTAGTAGGTTAGGATACACATAATTATTTCTACTTACCGCTGCTGTGTGCAGGTCGTGTTGAAACTAGAGGCACAAGTGACTTGTCAACTTTGACAGATGTGACAGAGTCCCTCAGAACATTGCGTTTTATAAGTGAGTGGCAATGAGCAGGTGTGTTGCTTTCTATCAGATGCATAACTTATTCGTTCCGTCACTTGATAGCATAAAATAATCAAGTTTTACAATTACTTCTATTAAGAATCCAAGGCTTTAAAAAGAAGTGGCAAAGCCAAAATATGGAACATGATGTCTGAATCTATGTTTCTGTGGTCACAGCCTCAGGGTTTTATCATCAAGACTGAGACTCCAAATCGAGGCTTTCACTTGATCAGTCTCGTTAAGTCGTTCACATGAAATAACATAATCAGCTAAATAAAAGTACCTACACGGTCCGATCGCCGGTCAGTCTGCCTCCGTCTGTCCGTTAACCATACAGTGCAAGCCATAGACACTTCCCGAGTTAAGCTTCATTCATCAACTTCATTTTCACTCAAGTTCAGATTGTGGTCAGACGCGAACCCATATTTTTTTATAAAAAAAATCTGTGTAGAAACAGATGTGCCGAAAGATACCCTAATTCGGACGACATGTGGTAAATTGAAACATATTTTATCCATTACAAATGATCTGCTATTAACTGCAATTTCAGAATACGATGCAGATTATATTTTACAACATGAAAATTAGGTTTAAATAAGCAATTACTTAATGTTAATTTTAAAACACAAAATTTTGGCATATGGGTAGTAATTTTAATTCAGAATTCGTTTCAAATAAACGTTTAATATATTCAGATGTAAGATAAGTGATCATTAGCTTACAGTGTAAGTAGTGTGCTGTGCGTGTGTGTGTGTGATGCGTGTAGCCTTACACGCATCCACTGCTGGATATAAGCTTGTTCCCGAGAATGCCAACTCTCCCGGTCTTGTGCCGCCCGCATCCAGCCGCTGCTGGTAATCTTTCTCAAGTCATTCGCTACATCTTGCCGCAGGGCGTCCTACATTACGTTTTCCTTGACGTGGTCGCCACTCCACAACAAAATCTGCTCCATTGGCCATCAGCAGAGATATATCCGGCCCACTGACACGTAAATTTACCAATATATACTGTAAGATAACTGTATCGTAGACAAAATTTCAAAGATTCATTTGGCTTGTAAATATTTGATTTAGAGGTGAAGTTTCTCAGCTTAGAAAAAAAATTTAACCTACATTACATAACGTCGATAAAGACACTACACTATTGACGACGATAATTGTTATGGTATTTTTTATTATAACAAAAAGCACGACACTGTAACTTTTTAAACTAGCCATGTGTCTACTATTTAATATAAGCAAAACCGCAATTACATAGGAACCAACACCGTTCAATTGCAATAACACACAAGTGTGTTGATGCATTTGCGGTAGGTACACACGCGTTATAGAGCGATTGGCGGCGAACCGCCTAGACTTTTACATTGTTACAGACATGACAATGACCATGAACCAAGTTCATATGGTACTTATTAAAATAACCGTATATCTGAAGGCGTTACGACTTGCAAGCATCATAAATTGCTTTGTCACTTGATATTTCATATCATTTGTCACAATCAAATCAAATCATAAAAGCAAAATTTGAAAGGAATGCTTGCCAATTACTTAAAAAAAACATGTAATGAATTGTTGTCGGCTTATATAAATGCTCTCTAATAAAGTGTCAGTTCAAGAAGCATTTTTGAAAAGTAACGTAATAAAACTTAAAAAAATATCGTATAATATCAAACGAATATATCTTATTTAATATCAATGGAATTTAGTTAGATTTGGAGGATTTTTGTTTGTTTCCCCAAATTTTAAGTTTTTTAATTTCGTGACTTTATTATTAAGGGTGCGATATGTAAAAACATATTAGGTGCAGGTTTTGATATTTCAATAGCGAATCTTTAAAGGAAAACTATAATAGTGTCAGTTCTACGTAGATGATATTATATTGTCAAAACAATACGAATTATAATGGGTAGAGTACAATTTTACCGCGTTTCGTCCTCAAATGAGAAGCGGCTTTAGGTAAATCCTAGCATTCTAGCTACATCGTTTAGGTCATGGAAGTTAGGGCACGCAAAGTAGCGTGCAGCCGATCCCTACAATTGATAGTCTAATACTTTCTCGGAATGCGTTAAACCTATAATTTGTCCTATATAGAAAATGAGGCTCTTCTTGGTAGCCGACTTCTGGAAACAACTAATTATAGTTTGTTACCAACGATGCACCTATGATAACCCATTATAATTATATATTCCTCTGCTAGAAAGAGTAGTCCATAGTCCGTCACGCTAGATCACTGCGGGTAGGTACTTAACACGGTTTTGCAACGGTTGTGAACCTTGTTTGACTTGCACGTTTTACTAGCATAGCACAAAAACTCAAAAGCTTTGTTGGCTCTACCTCTTTTAAAAAAGTTACGTAGCAATAGCTGACTAATGTCTTGTCTTGTGTAAAACTATTATGTAAAACTTGTCTTGGGCATATTCTATCTCTTGGTAAAGGCTATCAGCTAAAGGATATCAAAAAACGCTTACAATTCGGATAGGCTGCTTTCGATAATCTGGATGATTTCGATTAATACTCCAGTATCTAAAGACCGATCAATCAATATGTTCTGTCCATTATGACTTACAGACAGAAATCTGTACAGAATGTTGCACAAAGCGCCATGGATCGTGTCAAGCTCAACATCAAACTTATAGACCAACTTCCGAATTCCGAAAGCCAATGACGAAATTAGGTTCAGGACATAGAAAATCGGATAACAAAGCTGTGCATGACATACAGATTTTTTTTATATCAAGTGACGGAACGCACAAGTCATGCGGCTGTTGGTACCTCAGCTACACGCCTGTCCATAATAGATGCAGTGCCACTCAGAGCTTTAAATCGCAAATATCTGATGCGCACTGCCACTGCACATTGAGACATACGTAGACAATTTCCATGTGCCTGTAATTTCACCAGCACCCTTACCCTTCAAAACCGGAACACAGTAATGCTGACATTACAGCTTGACGGCAGAAACAGATAAGGTGGCAGTACTATCCTGAACTCTTTCACAAAGAGTTCTCATGCTACTACAGATGTAGTAAACCAATAAACGAATAGTCTCCAAAATGAGGTGGATCACGGTGAGTAACACAGACTACGGGAGGCTGATATATAGGAGAGTATGATGATGATGAAATATACGTCTCAGGGAAACCTGTTTCCCAATTACATAATAAAAAGTTATGACAGCGCCTCGATATAAAATATGGCGACCAAATGGCATGATGTGGCAACTCGTCGCGTGGAGAACGTCATATTTCTGAATTATATTTGAAAGCCTATGGTTGCAAGATATTATAAAGAGATATTACTTTCATACTAAAATATAGTATCTCCTATATAGAAACTTAGTAGAGGTTATTCAAAAGTATGCAGCTTGGTTTTTTATAATTCTGTAATTAAAGAATGACGAAGTTCGCGAGAAATCTTTGAAAGCTCAAGAACGGACGCAACATGGTAGTAATTTGAACGCCAAATCTCAAGGTACCTAACTTATCACTCTTCTGAAAAGAAATTATTGTTATCTACGTCAAGGTCCTATATATTAATAAATCCATCTTCAATAGAATATATTAAATACATCAAGAGATAGAAACAAAAGAAGTCTTAATTCACCAAAAGAATTTCAACTAAAACAAGAGTAATAACGACTTTGACACCGAATCGAATTAAATTAACAATTTAGTTTCAAAAGAATTTTTTTCTTCTAATGGCTTTGAAAACGAGTTTCACGGTTTCAAAATGAAGGCGCCTATTGCTTCATTACTTTGTCATTAACATAAAGTCAAATTTTCTGTGCCTTTTTCTTAATCTTCCCGAATTTCTCTAACAATTTGTACGGACTTCATGAATTCAAATAGGCTTATGTTTTTTTTTTATAAGGAGACGTTTATTATTTCTTTTTTATCTCAATTTTATCAATTTAATTTTATATGTTGTAGGCCCTGTATATCCTTAACGATTTAGCAAATCTCCTTCCTTACAGTAAACGGCGGCTGGAGTTCTTGGGGTCCTTGGACCCACTGTCGCTGCAATAGCCGCGTTACAGTCGGCCAGCGTAGAACGCGCACTTGTACCGACCCTCATCCCCTAAACGGAGGTGCTCAATGCCAAGGACAAGCAGTACAAAGGACCGCTGATTGCGTACCATGTCAGAATGGTAAGTGATCTCCTTCGATGTGAAACTTGTGTTTTGTAGGTTATTGTTAAATAAAAAACAATTAAGGATTGTACAATAGTGCACATCCTACTATCAGATATATATAGAGCCAGGCTCTTATTGGTATAGCCTCCTCCACTCTTCATGGTTCATAGTCAGCTCCTTGACCTTTATATAGCTACTCACTTTGATGTTCTTCTGTATTTGTTCACTATACGTCATTCTTGGTCTTCCCCTCTTTCTTTTTCCTTCTATCGTCTCTTCAATTATAATTGTCACAAATTCATCATTATGCAACACATGTCCAAACGATTCCCCCCTTCTATTTTACACTGTATTTAAAAGATTTCTTCATTTTCTTCCCTAACCCTTTATAAAACTTCCTTATTTGATATCTTCGTAATCCATTTTATTTTATCCATTCGCCTCCAGCACGATATTTCAAATGATTCCGATCTCTCTCTCTGTCTTTCTTTGTGATAATCACTCACTATTACGAATAAATGGGATATAATTGTTAATAAACAACATTACAATCAAGAATCGTCTTCTAAGACAATATATATTTTTTCTAAAACCTGCCTATTTTTTCCTTACTCACAAAATTTTTAAAATTAAATTTCTCTTCTCCATTACTTTATTCCCGATTACCTAATTCTATCATAAATCATCCCAAACTTTGGTGAGTCGGTAACATTATACAATTCCTACTAATGAGCTCTCGTTTTATATTTTAATGTCATCGTATTTTATTTTTAATAGACTCCTATATATTATACCCTTAAGGTTTTTCGAAAAGTGTTATTTAATGGTAAATTCTCTTGTTAATGCTTACAATGAAGATGGATTTAAGGATTTGGACTTTGATAATACGCAGCAATTGTTAATTGGTAAGTATGGTAATCAGTGAGAGATTCTAGTTAATAAAATTTCGAAAACAGAACAGTCATTAAATTATAAATATGACAGAACGTAGATTGATAGGATTTGTAAAGAATATTTTTTGCCTTATAACTCTGTTTGCTTGACAAACAGAGCTATGAGCAAATACATTTTTCATTCCACCTATTCAGAAAAATGTCTCCCATTGCTTTCTGAGAAGAGGACTTAAAACCGATTTTATTACCTATGGAATGATATAAATTTTTAATCAAATGATAACACCAAAGTAAAACAGAATGTTTCGTTCGAAAATTAAAGATTTTTTTATGTTGAAACCCGGATTCTACTTTAAAATTCTTCGTTTCGCCTTGGAGCCAATATGGCGCCATCGCTACAGATCATATTTTGCTAGATACAAGAATTAATGACAATAATGTAATAAAAAAAGGAGATTATTATGACATCAAATATCATTGTGACGTCAATAGAATTGTCATATGTTATAATAAAACGAATTTCTTAAGAAGTCTTCAAAGTGAAAACATCACAGTCATAATGCTTACTGAAAGTAAATAACATTTCTTTTACTACTTATAACTTCTTCGTAAAGAAACCGGCACTAACAAAAGCGCATAAAGTCAAAGACAATAAAATAATGATCATAAAGGACACGTGCTCGAAATCCCTACATGAAATATTCAAACAAGTGACATTTTATGTGACGAGTGTATCTTCACAAAAGTCATAAAAATGTTTTTAATACTTACCGAATGTCCTTCCAACTGACTTTATGTTGTCGGACATAACTTCAACATCATCGAATGCTACCTTTAATTCTCCTTAATTCCAAAAGTTAGAAACTAAACCATTTTCGAGTAAGTTTCAGACAAAGTGATTGTAATAAATAAATCTCAAAGATAGGCAGTAGCATCTCCGTTTATATTAGATTGCTGATTTACTAGCTATCGTCAATCCGTCTGTCGGGCGTTCCACAGGGTTCGGTCCTAGGTCCAACCAAGTATAACGTTAGTCTGGTAATAAAAGTTCAATTTTAGAAGATTTCAGTAATTATTGTACTTTAATCACTCAAGAATTGGTACAAGGAAGCATTGCCACCTAATGAGAAAGACGCTGGACACTGGTGAAATTACATAAATTATTACGAGGATCTTGTCAACTTGTCTAAGAGTGACGTATTTTTATAAAGCTCTGGGTAGCACTGCAACTGGACAGGCGTGTAATATAAAACGTGAAGTTAATAACTGTGACAATGTACAATTTTTTTTAAAGAAGTGCCTTAGAGATAATTTTTATTGAAATTTACCGCATTTTGTATGAGTGACACACAGTTCAATTATTTGGCAAACCGTACCAGGCTGAGTCAGGCGTTGTTATGCTGGAATGTTACATTCTGGGAATGATCTCAACATTGCGAAACTGAATTATGTGACATTGTTAAGTGTACTGTCATTTTACGATTGTCACTAATATCAGGTTTCTTACCACGGTATGACATCTTTTTATTTTCCCGTTATTTTGGAACGGTTGCACGCTCCATGGTCACGGTTTGACTGGACGGCGGCAGATGACAGCTTTAAGAGCAGACATATCTGTCTACCCTCTTGCGCTGTAGATAACTACCTTCATCGCGATTTGTTGTGGTGTTACCATTGTCACTCACTTTTTTCACTCCTATTTTGGTTACGGAAAAGGAAAAATATTACGTTCACCAAAAGACCACCTTCCTTTACAAACACCGGGTGTCTATAAAGTGAACTGCAGTTGTGGGAGCTGGTATATCAGTTGACTAAACGAAGAATTGTCGATCGTAAGAAGGAACACATCGGAGCAGTAAAAAACACACAGACTGACACTAACCACTGGATCGAGTTGCATAGCCCCCAGGTACTCTCGACAGAACGTCACTACATACCACAGTTGGTATGAGAAGCCATCGAGATCACGAAGTATAAAACATTTAACCATGATGATGGTTTTAAACTGTCCAGTACATGGAATCCGATTCTTAGTTCGTACAGTAATAAAAACAAAAACACCTCGATCAGTTTCACGTGTGGACGCAGTGAGTGTGGTTTGTGTGAAAAAAGTGCGTGACAATGGTAACGCCACAACAAATCGCGATGAAGGTAGTCGTCGAAAGCGCAAGAGGGCAGACAGATATGTCTGCTCTTAAAGCTGTCATCTGCCGCCGTTCAGTCAACCCGTGACCATGGAGCGTGCAAATAAAAAGAAGTCATACCGTGGTAAGAAACCTGATATTAGTGTATATAAAATATATAATAATCATTTAGTGAATAACCACGAAAGTCTTAAAATTTACATAGTGTCATTTTGTTCACTACATATTTATATGTTCTTATTTGTCATTTTGTAGCATCAATACTTAATTGTCCAGATATTTACGTATGTTACTTATTATAATTCGGTTCATAGTAACCGTAGCTCTACATTAAAATTACAGACCCTTGCTGAAAACTTATTATTATATGTGTAACTAAACCTATTGTAAACACGCCAGCACATCAAGCTACTTATTGACGTATCTTGTTCCATTGCACTGGAGGCGATTTTCGAATAAAAATCTGTAGTCTGATGTGCCGTTGTCCGTACTGGGAAATAAACATTTTAATAATCGCTTCATGACTCGTAAAAATAACTATTATTAAGTAGAATTTTTTTTTTAATAAATGAAGACTCCAATTTTGATATTTTATATAAAAAGAAATAATTTATTTCGTGTCGTGCGCCTGTCCATAACTGTTGCAGTGCCACTCAGAGCTTTAAATCGCAAAGATCCAAGGGGTACTGCCACTGCGCCCGTCATCCTGAGACATAAGTTGACAAGTCCCATGTGCCTGTAATACCACCAGAACCCTTACCCTTCAAAACTGGAACACAGTAATGCTGACGGCAGAAATAGGTAAGGTGGCAGTACTTCCCTGGACGAACTCTTTCACAATGAGGTCTACTGCTACTACCTAAAATATCGTTAATGTCAAGGATTTTTTCATAATAACTTTTGAATTTTATATCAAAATATATAAAGTTAATATTTTAGAAAAACATGATCTGTAAATTCACTCTGTTATCTTGCTTGATTATAGTATTTGTAAGTATAATGTTTAATGACGTTTTATAATTTTCGAAGCAGTATGTCCCGGCATAATAAAGTAGACCAACCGGGTAGACAATAAAATGCAATCAAGAGTGGTTTAGCTCCACCCGTTATTACGGTTGCAGTTTAATTGAGAACATATGTCGGCATGTTTGTTGTATTGGGGAGCTGTGTGTGGTACATGAGTATGTTTTTGTTTGACAGAATTTGGAATTTTAAACAATGTCTATGTTTATTTCTTCTATATTTTTGTCCTAAAGAATTGTATGTCTCCGTGGGCCGAACGGTTACCATGCTTCGCAGAGGTCCCGGGTGCGATTCCCGGGCCGGGAGAAGTATTTGTATTACCTACACTTATTTCTCTCGTTAGTTTGATTGTAATTTGTGGTTTTCTATGTGTGCGTCCGTAGCATCCGCGATACAGGGGTTCATTAGTGCGAGGCTCTGACTGTGTACGTTATTAACATTATTATATGGGTTTATTATTAATTATCACCATCATCATCAACCTATTTATCCCTCTCACTGCTGAGCTCGGGTCTCTTATCAGGCGAGGTATTCAGCTTTAGTTTGCCATGCTGGCCTAAGGCGGGTGAAGCTCGTGGTAAATTTCAAATTAAATTTTGCACATAAATTCCGAAAAACCAAGAGCTCGGATTCGAACCTACGGTCTCTGCTTGAGAGACGGTAGGTCAAACCAGGCTACTATGATTTCTTTTGTTATTCATTAGACTTCTCGTAAATACAAAAACAAATGTTATTAAACTAATTGTCAAGTCGGCATCAAAAGAAATATAACAAAAAATAACGTAACAAAGTAACTGTTCAAGACAATCTCAGATTCAACTTCATAATAATTCATTTGCGGTTCACGGCTCAGCTCCCTAATTGAAACAAATGCTAATTCTAATCCCACCATAACCATTGTTACAGCGTAACATTATATTGTACATAACGCCTTATGCTTATAAATTTAAAGTTAAAATTCACACAATTCATATGAGAGGACAAAGTAGGTATACTGTGATAATTATGCATTTGCTAATTCCTAATACCTTTCGGAATAAGGTTGAAAGTCTCCTAACCAAAGTACACAATAAACAATGTGGTAATCAATCAAATGCCGACAAAGTCATAAAGGTTATGAGAAATTGTAAGTACTTCATTCATTGTTTTTAAAATATATGCATTTGTGCAATAGCATAAAGTTTTGTAGGTCAATAATCTAGAATGACACAGAAGCTACTTAATTATTCAATTGAATGATTGCTAAAAACAAGATGACTATAATTAGAGGCCATGAGAACCATAGTGGCCTAATTCAATGGACAAGCCATAGTGGCCTATCTTACTTAGGCCAGTATGGCACCTCAAATTTAGATCACAGACTAAAAACCATAACAATGATTATGCTGCCATCTAGTGAAAATTCGTTGTATCACTTTTAGGCCTTTCTGATTCTATCAATATGTGTATGGGCCAGGTATAGTCCATACATGCACTGTAGTTGTAAGTTAGTTGTAGTAGTAGAGTAGCACGAAGAGAAAGATTGCTTGAAAGTTCAAAGTATATTTTCGTAATAAGTTACAAGTATTAGGTGGCAAATCTTTCCTTAAGTAGTGTCTCTGTGGACAGTTGGTGACGTACTGAGTTAATATTAAAGATTAATTAGTTATATAAAACAAAAGGCTGCGCGCGGCCTAAGTAGGTTGCCGCGTGCGCAGATTTGTACTTTAGTATGTATGGTGAGACCATACAATATGATCAATTTGAACTGGAAAAAATCATAAACTCAATATTGTAAAAAAATGAGTTAGGCCACTATGGTTCTCATGGCCTCTAATTATAATACTTAATCTTACTTTGGCGAACTGACACAACACTACTAATCTTTTTTGGAATATGGAATCTTATCAGTTTAATTTTAGAAATTGGAAATTTAAATGTACTTGTTTTTGTCGCCTTTATTTACATTTGTCATTGTTTCGTCTATTGTTTCATGCTCGTGTACATCTTTGCTTCTGTTTTTAAATCATCAATTATCGTAAATTATAAGTTTCGGAAAAGAGGATCGTTTCTATACTATACCAAAAAGTTGTCACGTTGTCACAAGAGCACTAACGTTTATGCTTGAGAAACTTCGACTCGTCGCCATAATATTTGATCTGCAGTGCAAGAAACAAATTTAACCATAACAAGCTTCCTTTTGAAATACCCCATTTAAGCCTTTAGAAAAAAAACATCCATTTCTTCTTAGAGCGGCACATTCCAAAAGTTCTTTAGCCCAAAAACGTGCGAAGGTAAAATACTTTATCTTTTACGCAGCAACTACATTGTTTCAAATTCCTGTATAAGCGGTGGTAAATACGCAAAAAGCGCATTATCGTAATATAATTTAGCTACGTTATCTTGAGAAATATCTTCGGTACTTCTGTGTGGAGGATTTCTTTAAATTCGGTTCCAAACGTGACAGGGGGCGCAATTACATGTTATTTATTTGAACGCCTCGAAAAAACTTTGTAATGTATTGTGTATGTGTCAAATATTCTCTTCTTTAGAATGGTTCTGTAGATATTATTGAAATATTGGATGTAGTAGCCTAAACTGTACTAATGTAAGGGTATTGAAATTTTGTTGTTCTTCTTCCTGATGTCATTGAAAAATATTGAGAGCAATAATTTAAGAACGTTAAAAAAACGTACAGGTAAAAAATCACTAAAGCTACCAATGGAATTTAAAAAACGAAACACTCTAGGGTAGATGGTCATCTTACAACACAAGTTAATATATGCTAAGACCGATGTATACGAAATAGAGTTTGTCAGCCTAACTGTAGATTTAATAGAATCCAAGGAACTCTAAAATTAAATGTAGAAATGTGAAAGTCCTGTGTTCCTCTAACGAAGCGGAGTGATTTATGCGTGTGCGCACTAATTAATAAGAAACGCAACAGTGTAGGTTAATATGCGTACACCCACACATGGGTGCGAGGGGAATCAACGAACGATTTAAGTTAAGAGAAACTGAAAAGATTGAATATTAAAAAAGATGCAACTCGTACCATATAAAGGTACTCAATAAATTGTTACTACTCGAGAATGTTAAAAATAAGAAAGTCACAGCTAATTCTGTAGCCACAATAAACAATAGTATTGTAACAAAAAGTATATGGCAGTAATCATTGACTTACAAATAAATGGACGACGGGTCTAATACAAAAACCACGAAAAAAATGTCCCAAGTCAACCTATTTAAACGTAGTGACATGTAAAGGAATATGAAAAAGCTAAAACGTTGAATTTAAATTGTAATGTCATCGCAGTACTGTCTAATTTTGCTTGCTTGGCTGTCAGTCGAACAAACGAAGACTAAAGCGTGAATGACGCTCTGTATACGATTTTAACGCCCTATAAGTTCGGACACTTTTTAGCGCGGACCCGACGTCCATATAATTGTAAGTCAATGGCAGTAATATTAATTTTACAGTGTAGAGGAATATTTCGAAGAAATTGTTATTTTATTTTTAAGGAACGTCATTGTCTTTTAACAATATTGTACGTTAACTTTTTTTAACAATAACTATTAATAATAATAATATACCAAACAACGACACTAATAACCTGTTCTCAAAATAGAGAATTCCCTGTAATATGACTATCAGAGCAAGGGAATTCACTCCTGCACTCATCGCACCCAAACCTCTAATTTATAAAAATTCATTTCCCATGTTTGTCTCCGAATTCAGCCTACAGTGCAAACAATTGGGCCACCGAGGCCATCGAATTGTTCTTTAATTACAATCATATTGTCCCTTGACATTATGGTTTAAATTTAAATATTGTGACATTGATAATATGAAATATTCTCTAACATCCATCATCTTTAATGCATTATTTCTGTCTCAAGATTTGCTTCGTTAAAGTAAGGAACAGTATTATGCACACGAATAGAAAATACGTAAAATACATAAAACATATAAAATTTTGAAAACATAACGGCAACTCTTGTATCGTTAAAAGCTTTAGACTCAAACCGAACCCAACTCAGAACACACGGACACTATTATTTCTTTGGTAAAAAAACATGTGATTTATTCCTCACTCGCATGTAAGGGCGGTTTCGAGTCGCATTTATTTTAATTTCAATTTATACCACAATAATTCCTGCCCGGTTGCTGTTTAAAATATTGTTTAGATGCGATTAATTTTGTTAAATTATGAGGTAATTGGAGGGGAACAGTATTCTGGGAGAATGTCTGAAGTTTGCCTATTATATTTATTGCTTGATAATAAAGAATGCTGCCGAAACAATGATATATGGTTTATTTGAGGTTGTTGTCGGTGATCTGATGATTCGTACTATACGACCAATTTTAGGAAGTGAATTTTCCTAAATTGATTCTGGTCTGAGTGTTCAGAGTAAATTCCGTTACTTCGGCACTCATAGTACACGGAATTTCTTAGTCGAGAACAGGTAATTGGTGTCGTTGTCTGGTACTTTATGATTATTTCGAACTTTGGACATTAACACTCAACGATTTTTATATAAGTTTTAGAGCTATTTTCTTTCATAAATTTCAATTTCATACCAGTATTATAGTTAAACATTCGATTTTTTAAAAGCTACAATAAAATTGATATCTTAAACCTGAGACATCCACAGAAGTAGTAAATTCAATTCTGACATTGACGTGGGCATACCAAATCTCATAGCGACCTTTTTTATAATGTCAAGCGACGTGTTAGACGAGTCGTGTGTCCAGTGACAAGCGACAAGCAATTGCAGTGCCACTCAGAGATTTAAATCGCAAAGATCTGAGGGGCACTGCCACTACGCCCAACACCCTGAGACATCAATTGTCAAGTCCCAGATGCTTGTAATTTCACCAGCACTGTTAAACTTCAAAACTGGAAGGCAATAATTCTCAAATTATCATTTGATGGCAGAAATAGGTAAGGTGGCAGTAGAACTTATCTGGACGAAATCGTTCACAAGAAGCTCTACTAATTCTAAAGCGATTACTTTAGTGACTGAAATTCCATAATCATGGTGAAATTGTACTGGCAGAATACAGCTGCTCAGAAATCTGCAAGTAAAATGCTATATAAGCATCCATACTGAGCCAAAAACACAAAATTTAGTAATATTGTGATCGATAAATATGTTTCAATTACTATTCTGTTTGATTTTATGTGAATTTGTCTGTTTGTTTATAATGTAAATATTAGTTAGTACGTTTTTGTGTTGAATAAACGTTCAAGCTGTCTATTTATCTACTATCATCATCAAAATCCATTATAAACCCCACTAGTGGGCACAGGTTGATGCCACAATCCGCCACCGTTGGTGAGAGGTATTCCCACTAAATATTCTTAAACCTTAAAATTTAAGTCACGGGTACATCTGCCGTGCTTACAATATTAACAGTAAGTATGTTTGAAATACATATAGACTTACTGTTCTTGTTGTAGGCATGGCAGACATGCCGCCATAGATAAGAGCCGTTGATCTCTTAATTGAAAAGTAACCTAATAGAATCCGCTGACTCTATAATTTTTCCCCACAGCTCTGCCTGGACGATGGGGAGCTTGGTCGGAATGGACTGTGTGCGGATCGGACTGCAGACAGAGTCGACGACGGTCCTGCAGTGGTGACACTCAATGTCCTGGAGCTCACATACAACATGCTGACTGCGTTGGAGATTTCTGTGGTGTTCGAGGAAGTGAGTGTAACTTTCGTCATAATCACAAATCTTACCACAAAAAATTACACTAAACCCACCTTTCCTTTGAAAGAACTCAAAGAGTATTTAAAGGTGTTGTATAAAATTGTACTAGCGATCATATCACAAATGAAAATAACACCTGATACCGTTCTTAACTCGTTAAAATATAATAACATTGACAAGGATTTCTTTCTTGGAAAGAAAAATAGAACGATATCGTTCCTGGCAGATAGTAAAACGTTAACTTTGAGGTCTTCATATTTCTAGTGCTTGTATTTATCAAAAAATCAACTAAAATCTTACTTCTTGTAAATATAATCTAAACATTGGAAGCTACAATTTCCCAAAACATGCATTCTAATATATACCGACAACCGAAAGCCGCGGTAGGCCACAAAAGCCTATTCAGACCAACTGAGACAGATTCGATTCGATAAATCTCACGCTGTCCACCCTCGCCTACTTGGATAGTTCTTGAATAGTCCTCGAGCTAGTGAATAGTTTTGAATAGTTCCCTGATTAGCGTGCATGAGTTAGTACGAAAGTCTACGTTAACTTGGCGCTAACAAGCTGCAAAATTTTGTCGCAAATAGAATTCATATATACATATTGTCAAGAAATATGTCGCAATACAAAATTTGTCTATTGTACGTGGACGTGCCGTTAGCAATAATAACAATTTGTAATCCGAACTTGACTGCTGCACTGACAATATTTTCACGGAATTAGAAATTCATTTCCAAGCTCATTTTGCATGTTGAAAGTTAGTGTCGTAAAACTTTATTGCTCATTCTTGTCTCTGGGGGTATTTATACCGCGATATTTTTTTCTTTGTGTCTTTATATTTCCTTCTGAAAGTCATTTGCCGTAGAAACATAGAAACATCTTCTTTGCCAAGGAAAGTTCAAAAGAAAATTCGCTTTTATCTATCTATTAAAAAATCGTACCAAATCTCAGTAACAGCAGTCACATATGACTGTTCCCGAGGGAGATATTAATTGCTTCAAATACTTTGAAAAACCCACATCTTCATCTACCAGATGCCGTAAGATTAAAAATATACTTCCTTTTCCGCGCCCGCTCATAACTATGAAATGCTACACGGACCGGTCGCTTTATAACAGGCTATCGGTTGTAACTATGACCTACCACTCTTTAAAGAGCCTCCACCCCTCCCAAAACTCAAAGAAAAGTAATAAAATTGAAGGTGTCTTAAAAGAATTCAAGAGCTCATACTTAGTTGGTGACGTTAAAAAGATTCGAGACTTGAGAGATACTAAAATCGGGCTCCATGACCATCTGGGTCGTATCATATCGTTTAAATATAGACGGGAGCCTAAAATTTTATAGTTCCCGTACAATTCGTTGACTCGGAATGTCGTTTTTGTGCATAAAGCTGAACAAAGGTCGGTAATATTTCTTATTGTTCTTTCCTTTACGGGTTTTAATTACTTTTATTTGACTTCATATTCATGGAGTGTGGTTAAGTGGTCCGTTAGTCTTGCAACAGTTGGGTTTTAACGTTTGGAGCTATTTATAACTATTTTTCAGTCAGGACTTTATTTGGAATTAGTTTAAGAGCTAAAACTAGAAAATAAATTTCTAGGGAAACACTTTTATCCCTATTAATTTGTACTTAAATAACTGCAAACAAAATAAGCAGAATTTCCTAACCGAACGAAGTTATCAAATCGTTTAGAACCTGAATTTAATCACCTAAACATTTCCAAGTCACAAGCAATCCAATATTGTAAATGGAAAATGATCAGTCTGGTATTTTGTTTATAATGGCAATAAATCATTTCTTTGGTCCCCGTTGACTTGGTTTCAATTTCCTTTGCTGTTTATCGTGTATTTGATAAATAGCCATGGGGTTTCAGTATTTTTGTTTACCGTACGTATTTATTCTTCCCCGACGCCTTTGCGCTATATAAATCTGCAATCTCTAACATATTTGCCTATAAATTGGTTTTGTTTATCTTCTACGAGATTGATTGTTATTTATTGGGGTCCATCGTTTTTGAGGTTAGCTTTTTGGGTTTCACGTTTGAGTTGCTTTTGATTAATACTGAAAGTGATAGATTCTTTCTCATCTCTGACTGCGTCTTATATTCAATAGGTATCGGAAAGACGCATCGTCGCGTAGAATAGGCTACTATAGAAGTTTATTTGCCAGAATAAGTACAGCGTATTCTATTAATTTCATTTTAATACAAATTAGTATTTATTATATATTTATTTATTTGTTTGTAAATGTTCTTTATTACTTTTAAAGCAATTATGTTAAAGCTGTTTAGTTCCTTGTAATTTAAAAGTAAGTCCTTGTAGAAATTTAATTCGATTTTTGATAATTTGTTGTGAATCTTTGTATACAAGTTGACGCTGTTATTTTAAAAAAATTATGACAAATTGTTGGTGTGGAAGATTCATAATTTTGGCTCCAAATCCAGAATAAATTGACTGCGTGTTTCAAAATACTAATGAAGAATGTTCTCTTATATACTGATATCTTTTGAAACTTTCAGCTGTTTCTAAAAGTTATGAGTTGCTCTTTAGTATAAAACCAAAGCTGACCGGCCATTAACGAAACGTAGATACGCGTTATCTTATGAACCTATGAACACAAAAAATATTGTATATTACACATTGACTTACAAATAAATGGACGACGGGTCTAATACAAAAACCACGAAAAAAATGTCCCAAATCAACCTATTTAAACGTAATAATATATAATGTAAAGGAATATGAAAAAGCTAAAACGTTGAATTTAAATTGTAATGTCATCGCAATACTGTTTAATTTTGCTTGCTTCGCTGTCAGTCGAACAAACGAAGATTAAAGCTTGAATGACGCTCTGTATACGATTTTAACGCCCTATAAGTTCGGACACTTTTTAGCGCGGACCGGACGTCCATATAATTATAAGTCAATGATATTATACATCCTATTAACTCCACTGAGACGCCTAAGATTGAAATATACTTCTCACATTTTATTACTGTACCGAAAGTACTATCGTTATTAATAGGAAATGAAACTATTTTTCCGGATTTAAATCGCGTATATTTGTTTTTTCAAACAAACCGACGTTTCGGGCCCTTTACAGGTCGAGGAAACGTCGGTTTGTTTGAAAAAACAAATATACGCGATTTATATCCGGAAAAATAGTTTCATTTTCTATGTGTAACAATCGCGAAAACCTAAGAACTCGATATATCGTTATTAAGTTTAATTTGTTCAAAACTACATCCATCATGGCAAACTTTAGTTTTACCAACACTTAATTACACTTGTAACTTTATTATTATGAAGCTTAATTGCTCTTGAGATGTTACGCGTTCATTTAACTACCTTATGATATAGTCAAAATCTTCATCATCATTCCTGAAAGTTTCCATGTTTATAAAGTTTGTTGTACTGTACATTTCGACCCTAAACTACTCGTACTTCTACAAGTTGCTATCTCTTAATTCCATTAAGTTTATTAAAATAATTGGGCCCGTCCTTATCTTACTAATTCAAGTGGAACCATAGAATGTGGACCATCAGTGAATTACCCACATGAAAGGCTGGAGGAACATTGGAGGGCCATTCATTCGCACGTCGGTGCTTCATTAGCCTAATTGCTGGGTACAAAGGGGGAAATGGCGAAATTTTATAGCGGCTTTTCATCTTTTGTTGTCTAAACATCCGTACCGTGTGAATCAACTTTTATTAAGTTAAATTAGTTTTATTAGGCACTGGTATTTTTGATATTATTTTCGATCTTTGGTTTCCGTGAAACACATTTGCATGACCTATAAACATACATACAACATTGGTATGACCTATAAAGGCCGAAGTAAGTTTTATTTGACCGAAACGCACTTCGGTCAAGTTAACTCACTCCTAACGCACTCCTTTTTGTCTCCATGATCGATAATGTTTATGCTTATTACTAAAGCATTCATTATCAATAGAAACTAATAATTTCCATATGATAGCCAAATCGTGGACTGCATTAAGAGAAAGCCTTGTCACATTATTTCGACTCAGACATAAACAAACAAATAAGCGAATCGATTTATATGCCAAGCAATCATTGCTGGAGGTGGGCCCAGCAAATGATTTGTTGTGATCTCGCCGAGAGAACGCAGCGGGCGACTGCAAACTGCATTCGCATATCCCTAAAGACTGCAACCAAAATTGTCCCTTCATGACGTGGTAGAGAAGGTGCATGTTAGGTGCAATATCCTGTCATGAGATTTCAATTCCGCGAGCCCCCTACCACGTTATGGGCATAGCGACAAGGGTTTATAAATTTCGATTGGATTTCCTATCTTCAATCTCGTTGCAACGGACATGAATATACGACTAAAACTCTGGCACTGACAAATGTTTACATCGACTACAAATTTCGACATTAATCCGAACGTTTAAACTGATATTAATATTCTAAATGTGGTTTCAGTTAACGGGTATGGCGATATAAATGAAGTAGCGGATGTTTTAATATGATTTATTGGAATCCAAACATCGTATGTATGGAGCTTAGAACTTGTTTATGTGGGAGATTTATTGATACGACGCAGTTTACTGCAGGATTGCGCCATTGCGCATAAAGCTGCGTACATTTTGTGACAAAAGGTGTCTCGAAATCTTGCTTCTTTTAACGATTGTAACATTATTTTCTTGAATGGAAATACAAACGAGGTAGGAAAATATCTCTTCAGTCCAAGAATTTATTTCCACACATTTGTCAAAAAATCATATAACAATTGTAACTACCTGTATCTATCTGTCCAAAACCAAATACCCTATAACCTTTGTTATTTAACATGGTAAGTATATTATTTTGTCTTTTATAAAATCAACTTAAGTAATTGTAAAATCAACATCCAATATAAATTCGTCTTATTGGCAATTTTCTATTACGTCGCTTTATTTACGGGCTCGACTCACAACGCCCCAGTTATAGGTCAAACGTGACATGTTTAACAATTAAGACCTCCTATCAGTACTGAATCTAAATTAGCTACAATTCTTGTCATATTTCCAGTAACAATTTTATTACTAACATCGATCTTCTAATTTATCGATATCTGGAATCGATTTTGAAATGCGTTTCGTGTTCTTGTTAGTGTCCAATAAATATTAAAGCAGTTATCGAAAAGCTCAAGTGCATAATTTGATTTTGTTTACAAGTTAATTTTGCGATTTTACAAGCGCATTCATGCTTTCACATATCGTAAATACTTTCGTGACGCAGCTGTTGGTGTTTATGATTTTGTAGTTTGACATTTTATACATCTTTATTTTCAATATACCTTCGCTTTTCTTTAAATAAGAGAAACATAGCATCTTACAGCATTTTGCTTACCATAACAATTCTATTTTTAGCGTTCAGAAATTCTCAACAAAAATGTTTTACTAACACGAGACTGTAGATACAATATCTAAACCTAGCGTTTCCAACAAAATTTATTTAAAAATATCGTCTGAAGATTGACAAATTTAAGTTAAAATTGTATATGTACAAAGTTGATATACGTATGTATGATAAAAAATCAGTAACTAAATTAGAAATGCCAGCACTAATCGAATGGAAAAATATTTCTTGATGGATTTTACCTGCACCTTGCCAGCAATTAAGCTGACAAAATTGTTAACCTTCCCAAGCAAAAACTTCAATTAAAACTTAATTACTGTATTCAATTAAGTACCAATCTATCCTTTTTGGGAACTCATTGTAGTGTTTTTATTTTGAAATTAAGTGCGAATTGAACCCTCGTTGTCAGGGCCAGGTGCAAACTGATGCTTATCAAAACCGACCCCATGTTCGCTATTCAGTTCCCCATTTGAATTTTTATTCAACCGGCGTTGAGTTTTATTCTCACTGTCAAGGTAAATAATACAAGAAATTTATACGTGTCTATATACGTTACTACAAAGTGTAAGCTATAACATCTTGTTTTTCTATCCACTGTTAATTTCTCCTGTAAACTATTTCTTCATTTTCACCACTTTCATATTCATCACGGACGAGCAAGTCGCGAACCTAGTAGTAAGCGTCACGAATGCCCATAAAAGTGGCAGTGCCACTCAGAGCTTTAATTAAATGATCTACTGTTAGTGGTTACTGCGCCTGTTACCCTGAAACAAAGTTAACAAATTCGATGTTCCTGCGGGTTCACCAACATCCTTTAAAACCAATACGTTCCGAGTCTCCCCGCAAGAAGTACCATTCCTTTCATGTACAGTTAGCGCAGCCTGGGCAACAATCGGCGATACCTTACGCGGATTGGCAAATCTTTACACTACGATAGCAAGCTTTATAGTGTATACCACTGATATCATAAGAAATAACTATGATGGCAGTACTTCTCTGCACGAACTCTTTAACAAACAGCTCTACTGCTAATTGACCAAAAAATTATACAGTGCCAATGAGCTGGTGTGAAACTAAACCTCGTGCTTTATGAATCAGAGAAATTATATTTCTATTAATCAGAATACATAAATATTTATTAGCTTTTATACTCAATCCATAGTACAGTTCGAAGCATTTTCTCTTATTTCGTATCATGCAATCTTCTCTATAAGAATGTTCAACTAAACCCAAAACTTACTAAACTGTAAGTGAATCACGCTTGAGGGTAGACGTTGTTTTTAATTACACGTGGAACGCGAACGGACGAGATGGTTATCGAGTTATCGAATACGAGTTAGCAGACGATGGCTTCATTGCGGCTTTCGATTTGACGATAGCGTATCACATGTGAGTTACTCAGGTTAGTTTGGAAAATCAATGTTTTATAAGAAATATAATCTGTGATTTTACTGCCATCTTGAAAATGTTATTTTACGATCACCGAATTGTTTGAGTTGTATTTTATTTCATACTTTCATGTCGTCGTGACTATATATTCATTTTAAGTAATTCGTCTTCGACTAAAGCATCAATCTTTCTTGTTACCGGAAGATGAAAAAAGGAGATAGAACGAAAATTCATGACAGAATTATTACAAAATGAACGACGTCATTTCGAACAGTACATTCAACCCACGTACTGACTTAAAAGCATTCATTCATCTCTACCACAACGTTGAAAACGGTGTCCTTAATTTGGGTCCTTTTCACGGCACCAAATTATACAAAAAATAATCGTTAAAACGCGCCTCTGGCCCAATCATAAAGTTGGAGACGCGATGACATAAATAATATCAAGGCATGGTGCCAGAAACTGGTACCCTGTTTCATTTCGTGTTATGACAAAAATATTAATGTTACTTAAAAACAAACACACAAACCGTTTCAGACTCTATTTTCAAAGCCTTAAAAGCCGTCGTATATATTATTAATGAGTAATTAAAGTTTGTGAAAGGATATTTTACATTTATAGCCAAAAACTCATAAAGCGTTGAGGGCTTATCACACACAGGTGTAGTTAATAATTTCATGGTTAATTTTATAGATTTTGGGGTTTTAAAATTTCATTATTTAGACATTCGGAATCATAATAAAATAGCAATCTTATATACACCATATTTTAAATAGATGATGTCTATTAAAACATAAAATTACACACATAAAGTTCCCTTCTTTTAATGGAAATGAAATAGTGTAAAAGAAGAAGTGAACACACAGTATGACCAATTTGAAATTCACCAATCACTTAAGGCAACCTGCACATTATATGTATGTACAACAAAAACTTTTCTCTCTCTCGAAGCTGCAATATTTTCTCACGTAATAAAAGTTTGCGGGACAGATACCAGACCTAAACTTACGTTGTAATTTATGCCTCTTTGTTTAAACGTGGGCAATACTTGTGAAGGATATTAAAATGTGGTTTATTGTACTTTAAAATCTGACACGCTTATGATGCCAATAATGTTATGTGTTTTCAAATAATCTATTCATTTCAGCTTCAACGCTTTGAAGTCTACTTTATTAAGCTGTTAAATGTATCCATTCAGTTAGAACTCGGTCTTTTATAGAATTTATTGACGTGTCATGTCTTTTCAAGTAACTTTGCGATATACTTTAATGTTTCCTCACGCGTTTCCATTGATCTGTCCTTTCCTAGAAATTCTTACTGGAATATGAAAGCTATTAATGTTTTTATTGCTCTGCTAACAATTGTCAGTTTCAGTATGGCCGTTAATATCTTTAACTATTATTTAGTTATTACCTTTTGGCAATTAAAATTCAATGGATTTATTTAAACTAATGATTTATTTGAGTAAATACTGTTTAAACTGTATTAGGAAATTTAAACAGCCTTTCCTAATACAGTTTCAATAGTATTTACTTAACTCACTATTATAATATATAAATATAAATAGGTATCTATTTCTCATTATTACTTGAGTGTATGTTTCTATTGACTAAAATTGTTCGATTATTATAACATAACGTACTGTCTATAGACATGTTCTGGATTAAGACTTACTTTAGGTAGCTTGTCTTCATGTGTATAACTAATAATCCGTCGTTTTCTTTCCTAGTGGCAACCCATAGCGACGTCCCTCTTTATATCGGCATCGCCGTAGCCGTTGTGGTCTTCTTAGCCGGCGCTGTTGTCGTCTATAAACTGCTGCAGAGGAAGACTAGGGATCATTCACTTTATACTATGACTAGGACTGGTAAGTGTCTGAGTTTATTCTTTTCCTTGTGCTTATTTAGAATATCATCGAAATCATTATGATTTCGATTTCAATTTCGGTTGAAGATGAACAGAAGGCGAAGTATTCCTGAAATTAGACGTCTCTCAAGCCCAGTTCAAGAAAACTCATGTTTTCGTTTTTTTAGTTCAGTTGGTTATCAAGAAAGGTACGATTCTTGTTCATTCACTAGGTGATTCAAAGAAAAACTGACAATAGCATCCAATTTGTTCTTCAGTTTGTACAGAGCGTGTTATTGATAACATTGCACAAAAAAAAACACTAACAGAAACCTAAGACCTCGATACTAACAGGATTGTTTTCTTATCAACACGCTTCAAAATTGTATTGACGGCTTATAACGTAGACCTCACTGGTGATATAATACGATCGGGGTTCGAAAAACGGGTCACGACCTACGACCTCCGAGTCTAAAAGGGGAAGCCCTTTTCGTCGTTTGTCCTATCTGATATGAGAAAATGATGTCATGTTTTTTATACATGTTTCTACACACACACTCCTACAGCAGCTATAAGATGCAACTTTGATAAAATGTGTTTCGTTACGTTCTACCACATTATCAATAAACTATAAATATAATTGGACCTAAGCTTTTCCTCTGTATAACACCACATTGAAATAAATTCCTACCAGTCTTGGTAGCACGATTTAGAATAGGACAGATTTATAAATCGTACTATATTTTTATTTTTCAAGGATAAGTTAATAAAGTGAGATTTTCAGAAAATAAAAGCAAAATAATTTTTCTCCAAGCAGACTTCCAACCTGAGATGTATCCGACTGTGGAGAAGCAATCATTATCACTAGCTCCTGACCTAATGCAGCATAGACCTCCGAGATATGAACAACCTCAACCTGATACGAGAGCGGAACATCATTATGACGTGCCACATTTGACCAATAGGTTTGTTTCAATCAAGAGTAAATAAGTATACCCTTAACCATAAAGAAACCAGGTGCAAATTATTATTAGTAATAGGGACAGACACTATAATTCCAATATCAAACAACAACGTTGTTAGTAGATGTTTTATATTGTCATTGCGTCCAAGTTTAAAAACCTTTTTTTAACATTCATATATTCCTATGAATTGCCAGAACTTCCGAACAAAACTAGACAAGCACTAACTTTTCACAATACCCTTTAGAAATTCGTGAATATTTTCTAAAGAACTTTTTCTGCATTTTTAACTTTAATGTGAGTTCCACTAACACTGTTTTAAAGTTAACCCAGTTTCAAGAACTTGCAAGAACTTTAAGTCTAGCGTGGCAAGATTCTCTAAAAGCTTGTTTAAATTTTAAGCTTCTTGAAAAAATATTTGAATTTCGCGTAAAATGTTCCATAGGAGAAGATTTCTTATTCCAGTCACATTTATTCTCCGTAGCCAAAGTGCATTATAGAAAAACCTAATTTATACATTATTGTTCTAGCTATGCATCACCAGTTGATCATCAGATCACTCCATGTGCATCTAGTAAAGGTCAAAGCGATGACTACGACAGCAAGCCTTATAGCGAATCTGAACATTCTGTTTCCAGTTGCTTTACCAGTTGTAAGTTATTAATTTGGGATTTTCTAAGGACGTTTTGTTTTAGTCTTTATTACTTTTAAATATTGTTACAATGCCCTTTCCAGTTTTATGAATTACATTTATCGATAATAATTTCTCTACTTAATCAAATATGACCAATTTCATTTGTACTAACAATAGCTGTCGTTTCAGCGGGATCGATGTATGACGCAGCAAATGAATCAGTCACGTTACAATTGGCTGAATTAGTATCAAACTCGCCAACTTCACAATCGCTTTCTGTATCAAGCGCTGGTGCAAGACTGGCATTGCCGGCTGCAGGAGTAGCCTTGAATGTACCAGAGACAGCCCTTTGTAGGGGCCGAAGGGAACAAATCTACGTCGCCGTCGTTAGAGACGACAGATATCGACCCAGACTCGGCAAAGGTGAGTTTTCAAGTGAATTTTATTGCCCGTAAAAATCTGCAGTGGCTAAAGATAAACTATAAATTCAAAAGAGACAAGATGAATTTATAAATAATAAAACAACCAATCTATGCGTATAAATACAAAAGCAATAAAAATAAATTGTTTCGCAATTTTTCAACGCTAATATATTTGCTCTATAATTACGCTATCAAATCAGAGGACCGTGATTACGATGAGAAAAAGAACATGCCGTGTGCCGCAAGCGAGGCGAGTCTAATAACACACAACACGTTTTGTACCGTAAAATATTTTATTAAGAATAATTTTTGCCCCCAGGTATCACGCAACTGAGCCCAGTAGTTAAATGCGGACCACCTCGTCTACAGCTAAACAAGTCTGTTATACTCCAAATACCACACTGTGCCAGTCTTAAACACGGCTTTTGGAATCTGTCCCTTTATGCCATAGATCACAACAACACGAAACCAGACAATAACCAGCCTCAGTGGAAGAAAGTTGTCAGCCTCGGACAAGAAACTATTAACACTCCCGTATTCACCCAACTCGACAATGACAAAATATTCCTAGTAACAGATATGCTATCTACGTTTGTGCTAGTTGGGGAAAGTTTCAATGGGAAAGCCGTCAAGGCTCTTCAACTTGCTGTTTACGCTCCCGCAATGCCGAACGAGAACTTGTCTGAATATAGTATAAGGCTTTATGTATTCGAGGATACTCCGTGCGCTCCGTATTATTGTCAAGAACAGGAAAAGAAACTTGGCGGTGTGTTACTAGACCGAACCAAGACTTTGCTTTTCCAAGACGGAGGCTCGAATCTCTGCTTGAATCTTGAGCACGTGAGTCCCGGGTGGAAAGCCAAACCCGGAATAGGTTATCAAGAGATACCGTTTAATCATGTGTGGAGCTCAAATTACAACGCTTTGCACTGCAGTTTTGTATTGGAACGGACTCATGACTGCGATAACATTGATTTTACAATTTCCGCCTGTCAAAGAACCAACCCGTCGTACAAGCAGACATTCCGAATATCTCTCGAGGACGTGCGAAGTCGATCGCCACGCGGTCGTTCACCGCGGGCAGAGTCCCAGCGCAGTTTCAACATTACTGAAAATATTTTGGAGGCTCGAATGTGTAGGAGCGAAGATGGTAGCGACGGGAGCGCTAAGAGAAACATAACTGTGAGCGAAGCGGGAGTCAACGAGTGCGCCGGCGAAGGGCCATTTAAACTGAGTGCTAGGGTGAAGCGACAGCTGTGCAGCATATTAGACCCGCCGAATGCTCGGGGAAACGACTGGCGCGCGCTCGCGTCTAGGTTGGGAGTGGATCGGTACACCACGTGGTTCGCCACAAAGAGCTCGCCCACTGAGGCTATATTAGAATTATGGGAGTGTAGGGAGCGCGGGGCGGGCGCCACCGCAGCCCTGGCCGCCGCATTACGCCAGATGGATCGCCACGATGCCGCTGATCTACTTCAAGGGCGGCCTTCTTGGTTATGAATTCCTAAGCATTCGTATCTCGACTTCAACTAAAGTCGAGACGTATGGACTTGTGACTACTGTTCGTGAGTTTTATACAGAATTTAGACTCGATTCTTAAGGCTATACGTGGACGTTCGTTGGTGAACTAATCAGTAGTTTAAATGTTATATTAGATAAAGTATAGTTTCGTTGGCCGACGGCCTGAGTTTGTAAAATCGTTCTAGTATATTTTGTATAGATTATCTATGCTGTAGATAAGCAGTGGAGGAGATAAATTATATTAATAGTAGCAATAATAGTGCCTACAATGTCTTTTAAAGAAGCACTGCCAACACGAAGTAGGTGGTCACAGTTGGTTATTTGTTAATTTTTATAGGTGTTTGAGTGTTCATTGTATCGGAAATTTATCGCCTAAGTTTTACGTTTAGTTGCCTTATTAGTTGGGAATGCTTTGTTTAGACGAACTATGTGCCAAATCTCGGATGCCACAGTACTGTTTTTGGCGATAGTTTTAAAAAATACGCATATATTCCGAGCTTAAAACTAGACTATATGTACAGCCAGCGTCATAAGTCACTGAGCAGCTAGACTTTTTCATATAACAATCCGCACTCGGGCATGAGCATGCCTTTCCAAATTTTTTTTTTACGAAAAGAACCAAAGCTTTAATTGTTCAGCGATTTCTGATATAACCTTTGTTTATTACAAAGGAAAGACTTAAGCTTATTGCATTTAATGTCGACTATGTTAAGGTCGGCTTCAGACGCTCGCCACGTTGCTGAATTTTCATAAACACATTTCTCTAAATAACTAAGCGAGATGTTGATAGCAAACGTCAATACTGGCTAACAGGGGCAACGGATATATATATAAATAAGGTAAACCGATTCGCTTTAGTTGGATTTTTGATTAGGAACTTCCCCGTACTGTCCCAGTTAAAAAAACACTTTACATCAAACCCTTATTTTTTAAATTACTTAGGTACTAATCAGGTAGGTATTCGCTATACGCGGAAATGAAACTATTTTCCTTACCGAAATCGAGTATATTTGTTTTTTGTTCTCTTTCTTTACAGATCCCATGGTCACGATGGGGTGACCATGGGATCTGTGAATAATTTCATTCCCAATTAACATCTAAAATTTTTCAAAAAGATGTAATTTATCATTTTTCTATTTGACAACACTATTTTTATTATTACTGTAAAGACCACCGTGTCTGTTGCCTCCACGTGGCTACAAGTCCTTGTATCACAGTAGTGAAAACGTCATGATATTTAATAAAAATAAATAATTTTTTTTTAATTAAAAATATATAAAATTTAGTTTCCGAGGAAATAATATTATTGTTTCATCGGAACTAAATTACTAAATGTCAGTTAATTGCCTATAATTAAAAATCCGTGTATTAAGTTGGAGAACCAATTTTTTAAAGCAAGATTCGTTTTATATGTACCCTTTGCCACTGCTAGACATACCATTCAGGGTCTTTTCAATATTTCCCGACCCAATTTTCCTTAGATAGCATTTGTATACAATAGTGTACATAATATTATGTTACAGTATGTAAATACTTGTATTGCAACAACACGATAGCGAAATAATTATTATTTTGTAAATGGCACGTAACGCCCTAGTAGACTATATATTTTTGTTAACGTGATGACTATTAAAATAAAAAGATCTGTGATACTTAAAATATGAAATAAATTATGTTTAACTGTGCATTTGTTTTGTTTTATTTTGAACATATGAGTCCAGTTTACAAGGTATTGCTACTAAATATTTATAAATGTATTTTTTTATAATACTAAGTGACGGGACGAACAAGTCGTGCACCTGGTGGAAAGCGACACGCCTGTCCATAACAGATGCAGTGCCTTTCAGAGCCCACAATCGCAAAGAACAAACACTGCACCCGTCACCGTGGGACATAAGTTGACAAGTTTAGTCACATGGGTGCCATTGACTTACAAATAAATGGACGACGGGTCTAATACAAAAACCACGAAAAAAATGTCCCAAGTCAACCTATTTAAACGTAGTGACATGTAAAGGAATATGAAACAGCTAAAACGTTGAATTTAAATTGTAATGTCATCGCAGTACTGTCTGATTTTGCTTGCTTCGCTGTCAGTCGAACAAACGAAGACTAAAGCGTGAATGACGCTCTGTATACGATTTTAACGCCCTATAAGTTCGGACACTTTTTAGCGCGGACCCGACGTCCATATAATTGTAAGTCAATGATGGGTGCGTAATTTCTTCAGCACCCTTCTTACCCTTCAAAACCGGAACGCAGTAATGCTTACATTACTGCCTGGCGAGAAAGATAGGTAGGTAGGTCTTAAATAGAAAACTATTTGCAATTCATATATCATCGGTGTTTTGTTGAAATGGCATAACCAACAAATTTGGTAATAATTAAGTTTTAAAATTGAATTTAAAACGGAACGTAATAGTTTGTTGTGCATTAAGGGCAGTAATTAAGGAATTACGAACGAGACTCTATTAGCTTTCGGAGTCGATAATATAATATATGCCCTAAATAAAACCCTCGGGCCTTTTTTTCTTCCCATTACAGCTATTAAGTCGGTAAGGAATATTTATTCGGTCGGTAAGGAGTATTTTTTATTTGTAGCAAGACGTACTTATATAGGCAAATGGTGAGTACCCAATTGGCAAATCCTGTCACCGCAATGGGAAATATTACAGTGTATACCATCGATACCAGTGCCAGTTTAAAGTGTCGGGGCTTGTGTATTCAAATGAAGTTGTTCACATATAGTACAGTTAAGAGCACGTCAAGCTTGACACTTTGTACTTTGGACCATTCTTATCGTTAGTGGCATAGAGTTGGACTTGTTTTAAGTGTCAAGCTTGTTCTTGACCCTGTACAACACGATTAACTGTCGTTTCGACGACAGATTATTGTGACAACGGAAAGAGCTAGAACGACAGTTGTCGGACGATAAATAAAACGTCACGATAAAAATGTGACGACAGACAATCGTAGCTTCAAACGATTCTGTCGTACAAACGACAAGGTGGCAGCCGAGAACCGATAAATTGTCGACGCGATCAGTGAGAATAGCTAGACACGACAGTCGTTCAACGATACGAGAAACGTCCATGACACAGTCTAAAAAAATTGAGTTTTATTGGAATCGGTTACCGGAAAGTGCGTGAAACCGAATTCATTCCCTAGTTTGCCATCCTTAGAGGTGGAATATTTCCAAATTTAAATGGGACCAATACTGAGGCACCCCAATCGATTCAATCGCGTAACATAGACACAAAAAAATACAGTCAAATTGAGAACCTCCTCCTATTTTGAAGTCGGTTAAAAAGTTAAATACAAATTTTGAGGAAAAACAAAATAAAGGGTTTTTTCTGTGTTTCTTTACAAGAAATGAACTGCGGTATGTATATCACAAAGGATTCCAAAACCTTCGAAAGCGATCAAAGTGACAACCGCGAAGTAGTTAAAAAGATATTCTAACAAATAACTAGACAGTTTGCTTACGCTTCAATGTAAGAGTACAGTCAGTAACAAAATAATTTCAAATACAAAACCACCGTGAGACTCGCATATATTATATAAACTCTCGCGTATTTAAATCAAACTTTTGCTCGACATGCTTCCAACTAGTCCGTGTTTCATAAGAGTCGATACTACGGCAACTCGAATTCAATTCTTCTTTCCGTTCAAATAGGGTTCATTTTGCTTAAGTCGAGGGACAGAGATACTGACTTTATTTCAGAATTAATTTTTTTACAAACGAAATGTAAGCCATTTGAAAAATGTATATCGTATAGTGTACATATTCTATTTAGTTCAGTTGATACAAAAAAAAAATTGTATTATTAACGAGCCAGTGAACAATTATAATGTCAGATAAGTGCTAAAATGGTATAATTAAATATAATCCACAAATTCGCTGACAACGACGACGAAAACCCGCTGACAACGAGTGACAAAGGCTTAAATTATTCGTCGCTGTCAGCGAGGCACTGCACCAGGCAGTTGTCAACTGTTATATATAAAGTACATGCTAAACACAGCGGTTTTCTTGTAAAATTTCGAAGTAAGTTTATTTTTTTGTTTATCGTGAATTTGAGGTAGTTTAGACTCTAACGAAGACTCTAAATACGAAAATACACATTAAAAAAAGTTACCTTATTATACTATCGTCATAATGCTACTGTATAATAAGGTAACTTTTTTAATGTATATTTTCGTATTATAATAAATATTAGAACTCTTAGCGCCCAGCTACACACGGAACAAGTGCTCGCGCGGCCGCCTCGCGGCGCCCGCTCATTTACCACGCCTTCATGTACATTAATGGCGTATCTGAATTCTATTTACCAGGCAACAACATTTTACGCGGGCCGCCACGTAGACCAAATTCAAAGCAGGCTTTCCCGCGTGACCGGGATGCTCATTTAAGTTAATACGTAAAAGCTAAACATATAGAGCATATTTTGCCATGACAGACGCTCCCGCGCGTTTGTATTGTTCCGAGGAATTAAATGTTGTTGCCTAGTAAATATAATTCAGATTCGCCAGTAATGTACGTGAAAGCGTGGTAACTGGGCGGCCACCGCGCGAAAACTTTCGCGTCGTGTATTTGGGCGCTAATAATGTTATTGCCATGCCTAAAATAAGTAAATGGGTACATGTGCTTTAAAAAATTAAAGCTTAAAATAGATTTGTTGTATTTATTTAATAATAAAGTAATTATTATATACATATAATTATGAAATAACTTCTAGCATGCTTTTTGTAAAAACCCTATCTAAAAAGCTAGAAGTAAGTAAATTGTGTCAGGGTCGGTTTCTTTATATTCAAAAATAAGTAAAAATCAAGCACTTTTTGAATAAGGACAAAAGTTTGTGAAATTCAATGAGCCAGATTCATTACTTAGTGTGCGACCCCTAGATGTGGAATATTTTCTTTAAATTTGAATGGGACCACTATAGAGGTACCCGCGTTTTAACAAAAAAAGAGAATCGTCAAAATCTGTTCACAGATGTCGGAGTAATCACGTAATATATGTACAAATAACTACAGTCGAATTGAGAACCTCCTCCATTTTTTGAAGTCGGTTAAAAATAAATACCAGTCAAGGATTTTCTACCCCGACTGTACAAAACCAAGGCATACGGTGTGCAAAGAAACACAACTGTCAATTATACGAACTCACGATTAGTTCCACTCTTTGATTTCAAATTTCGAACCTAACCTTCTACTGACCGTCATTTGTCAAATAAAAATATACCTTCACATTATCTGGTTAAAGTTGAATATTTGAATGTGTATTTTGTCAAAGGGCACGCCTTGACCCGGAGCGTTTTCACTGTTCTAATGTTTAGGACAACAAAAGTGATGTGGTGTACATGTAAATAAGGCGTTTAGGGTAAGGCAGGTGTGAGCGGGTCTTTATGATGGTGGAGCCGTTTCACACATCACGAACTATGACCAATTTTGATGGGTGTGGTGCGAGTAATGGCGTTTATGTTTAAAAATGAATTCCAATTTATTTAAATTTGTCTGCTTTTTTAAAAATAATTATATTATATTTTAACTTTAAAAGTATAAAATACATTTTTTATTTATTTTAGAAATAAATTTAATTCTGCAGTTTTAGAGATTAATCTGAATGCCAAGTAGTTTTTTATTGTACCTAAAATGTAGGCCATACACATATATCTCCCGAGCTCAAGCTTATATAACCCGTGACTTTGACAACATCGTCTACTAATATGGCTGCAGAACGTCCAACGTTTCTGTAGCCACTCATTTGCCATTGTTATTGGACACATTTACGAGTAGTATTGTAAGCATTTCTGGTTTAGTATTGCTACGCGCCCAGCGCGCTGCCAGTCGTTCCATTATAAATAATATAAAAATGTCATTAAATGGAGTCAAAATTATACGGTTTCCAAGTGGAAATTCATTCAAAAATTCAAAAATTAAATAATCTTCATTTCATAGGCATGCATTATTACACTTGAAATCGTCACAATGGTTAAACTCTACCGCTCATTCGTAAGGCAGATTCCCCTGAGAAAAATGAGCAAGAAACTCTAGGGGTTGCTCTTTGTAAATAACATTTGTACACATTCAACATTTACAATATATATTTTTTTTATTTGAAACATCAGAGATCGAGACTACCTCATGAGCTAAACGGGTTACAACCACGGATTTTTGTCATCCAAGTACGCAGAAGTTGTATAAAGTACCTTTAGTATAAAGTTTTTGTTTCACTATAGTTGTAAAATAAGTAAGAATGTTAATTTCCTTAAGCTTATCTCTCAAAGATACTTATTGTATTATTATTTTTGCCATTTATCAATCATTATCAATTTGCCAAACCACCATTC